TCCTTCCACCTGCCACCAGAAAAACAGAGGGAAGGACACCCACAGAAGTGGGCCCATTTTCCTGTGTACTGGCGATCTGCTGTGTGGCATGTTGGGTTTTTCTTTTGCTCCCCTGACCAACTTATCCTGGCTGCCAAGGGCCTGCTTCCTATGAGACCCAGTTTTTAGGGGGCTGCTGATCACTTCTGGAGTGCTGGGGTCTCGGAAGGGAGTGGGCAGCTGCAAAGACAGCCCACGGCTGTGAATCCAGGGTGACCAGGTTGGGGTGGGGGGAACATACATCTCTGCCAGCAACAGCCTGTTGCAAGGGAGCCCCTGCACTGTGAGTGCAGTGGGGGTGGAGGCTGAGCTGCCTGTCTGCTGCATGTGTGTACGGCTGCAGAATGCTGTGGCCTTGGGAGCAACTCCACCATCAGAGCAGCGACAGGAAGCAGTGCTGACGATGAGCAGGGCCAGCGCGTGGCTGGGGGAGGGCTGGCAGGCGTCCATGCACATCCTTGTCCTATCATGGCTGGCAGCCTGCTCACCCTGCCCTTAAGCACCTGCTGTCTTGGGTCCGTTACAGATTCTTGCAGCTTGGTTTTCAGACCTGCACCATGGCTTTAAGCAGGCCAAGGATGCTGTGGTTTATCAGGGGGCTTCCTGGAGCTACTGAGGAGGGGCTGGTAGTGCCAGGATGACTTTTTCCTGATGAAACCTCCTCGGGCTCCTCACCAGGTGGCCCCAGGGGCGTAGTCTGGCACCCTCTGCTCCTTACTGCTCAGCGGGTGACTCTCCAGTCTCTCGTCTGCTGAAACAAACAAACAAGCAAAAAGAAAAACCCTGCAGGGCCAGGAGTCAACACTAGGGCCAGGGTTTCAATTCTGCAAATGGAGATGGTTTTGTTGGGAGCTCTGGTATGGAGCTGGCCCTGGGGTGCAATTTTGAAGAAGGTAAAGGACTCTCTCTGCACATGTTTGCTGAATAATTTACTGGCCTCCAGAACTTTTGGGGGAGACAAATGGCTACAAATGGAGACAAATGGAAGGAAAATACCTGTTTCTACAATGCATTTACACCCCAATTTGATCACTTTATTCCACTCACTCATGGCTTTTGAGTGCCTGGGTGACCGGTGGTGTCACTCCGTGACACGGCTCCTTCCCTTTGGCTTGCTCATTCGTCAACATTAGCACAAGGATTCCTTCTTCCTCACACAGTCACCTGCTTCTGTAGTCACTTCCCTGCTCTGTCCTGCTGGCAGCAGGTGTGCACTGAGTGCCAGGGTTGCTTTGGGGCCCAAATACTCATGGTGGCTGTGATTGCCATCTGGGCTCAGCACCCTGGAGGAACAACAGAGAAAGCGTGACAGGAGGGACATTCTTTGCCAGCAGAGATAGGTGAGTAAAGAAGCTGAACAAAGGAGGGTGGGATGAAGAGCCCGCTGGCAGGGAGAACCGCCCCGTCCCCGAAGGCTCTGAGGCATCACGTCGTCTGACCCAGGCTCTGAGCTTTCCACTCAGCTACGCGCTTGCTACCAGACACAGAACGCAGGTAGCTTGGTGTCCAAGAGGCAGCCATCGTGGCGGGAAGCTTGGCAAGAGTGGAGGGTGGATGGCTGCCGGAGTAGGGAGGGCCCAGCAGGCTGGGATGCTTTGCTTGTGTTTTAATCTGAGGTGATGGGAATCCATTGGAAAACTTTTTACAGCGTCACGCCAGGCTTGGATCTCCATTTTCAGGAGATCATGCTGACATACAATATGATGCTATGTCTGGAAATTACAAAACAAGCAAACTAGTCTGTGCCGTTTGGTCAGGAGAGTGGTTGACCTGGAGGTGGAGGTGGCTGTGACTGGCTCCAGGGGGCTTCTGGGAAGCTGGCAATGATCTATTTCTTGATCTGGGAACTGGTCCCTCAGGTGGACACAGCTTGTGATATTTTTCAAGCTGTACTCATGATTTATGCATTTTCTATGTAAATTTTATACTTCAGTAAAGTTTCCTAAAGGATTACTCTGGCTGTTGCTTAAAGAATAGATCAGAAGCGGCTGGCCAGTTAGCTCAGTTGGTTAGAGCTTGGTGTTGTAACACCAAGGTCTAGGGTTCAATCCCTGTACTGGCCAGTTGCAAAAAATAAAATAAAATAAATAAGAGAGACTAGATCAGAAGGAGAAAAGAGTGGGTACAGGAAATGGGTAGGCAGCAGGGACAGCGGGCCAGGGGAGAGCTGCTGGCGACTGGACCGGAGCTGCAGAGGACATGGAGAACACAGAGTGGATTCGAGACTTGGTTTGGAGGTAGAAGCACCAGGGCAGGACTGGAATCGAGAGGACACAGTGTGGGGTGATAATAATGGTTGGGAGCGTGGATTTGAGTTGAAATGTGTGGGATGCGGCTTGAGGAGGGAGGTCTTCAGCACGCAGCCGCAGCCGAGGATCTCCTCATGGGTGGGTGGGTCGCACCAGGGAAAGCTCGTGTAGAGAGACGGGGAAAGGGCCCAACAGAGCCCGGACACCATCCACTCCAGGCAGGGAGATGGAAAAGGGCTCCCACAAGGGTTCCCAAAAACAAGCAGTCAGAGAGGGAGCGAGAACATTGGGATGGCAAATGACACCATGAATGGCAGTGGGGGTGGGCGTGGGGGTGCTGTTCGGTTAGCTCAGTTGGTTAGAACGTGGTGTTATAACACCAAAGTCAAGGGTTCGGATCCCTGTACTGGCCAGCCACCAAAAAAACCCCAAAAAACAAAACAAAAAACCCCAAATGGCGAGGGGGCACCCAGGGGTGTCAAACCCTGCAGAACTTAGTAAAGCGGTCATTGAGAGTTCACGGGGTGTGACTATGAGGTAACATGCCATCTTGGTGAAGACAGTTCCAGTGGCACCTCTGTCCCCTGAGTCCTCCTAAGACCAGGCAGGGGGGTGGAGCAGAACCACGGTGTGATTTGCATCAGTTGGCTACTACCATTTTCCGACTACTGTGATGTGAGACAGGTTGTAAGCTTCCCTGAGCCTCAGTTTCCTCATCTCTAAATGAAAGGACTCATCCATACCTTTCAGGGCTGGTGTGAGGATTAACTTTATTCAGCAGATATTTATTGAATGTGTATTATGTGCCAGATGGTCAGATGCAGAAGATACAGAGTGATCAAGACTGACAAGTGGGAAGAGAGAAATAAATAAGTAAATAAACAGACAAGATGATGTGAAGAGAATAAATGAACCCCTGTGCTTCCCTGCAGCATCAGACAGCCTTGTTGGGCCGTGGGGTCCCTCCCTTCCTGGCCAGCGAGGTCCTCGGCGATTCTGATACCATGCCCCCAGTCCCCACTTTCTCTGAAAAACTAGCTTCCCTTTCCTTGAAGACAGGAAGGGAAGGGCGTAACCTCAGACCCTTCCAGGAGGTGAGAAAAAATATTGACATCCCGTCTAGTTAGTAGAACAAAGAATAGGGAGAATATAAAATAGCAAAGTTTACATATGAATAGGGTCTGAATGTCCTTTTCCTGCTATAGGTGAATTCAAAGTAGGTTCCCTAAAGGTGCCTTATTTCAACCTACAGAATTACTTTCCCCAAAAGTGCAAGATGGCACTTGTTCTCCATGAAAGAAAGCTTTTCTGGCTTTTAAAAAAAAAAATAAGGAAGAAAGAAATGACTTTGGAAATCTCTGAAGAATTTGGACATCTATTTATGTAAATGTCAATGATCATTTAGTTTCGAAGTGTTTATTTTTTTGGAAACCTTGAGCAGCAGGCTTCTGGTTAATCTGCTAAATTCATCTAGTCTCACATGCTCATGTTTCATCCCTCCCAGAAGATTTATTTTAATCTGTGCGTTCTAGTCCCTGCCCTCAAGCACTCGCCCTGTGTCCTTCCCCTTCACGTCTCTCACAAACCTCACCTCCTCTGTCCAGCCACCCACTTCCCGTTCCTGCTGCGCTTCAGACAAAGCGCTGCTAGGAGAGAAACAAGACAGCACAAAACAGCCACAATACGAAGCACGTTAGGGTCACTGGCGTCGTCGTGAGCTAGAAGGCTCATCTGCCTCCCTGTTTTATGCCCCGTCTTCCTTCATACAAGGAAATCGTCGTGTTTCTTTTTTCAGATTTGTTCTGTTCTTTGCACTCCCAAAGGCCCCCAGGACCCAGTCTTATAAAAGGCCTCTTTTAGCTCATAACAATACAAAATACAAAATGACAACAAAACCCATAGAATTATGTAGATTGGCAGATTGGGACTTCCAGTGTCCCTTTTGATTGTATCTTACATGGTTCCCTCCAAGTGAGATTTTTATCTAAGATGAGTGTACTAAGCTAAAAAATGGTCAAAAAATCCTGGTCCAATTCAGTCAGGACCTGACTCAGAGAGAGGCCTCGGCCAGGGTCCCCCAGGCAGTGTGAGAGGTGGGAAGAGAATTCACTGGGGACTTTGCTTTTCTCCCAGCCTGTTGTGGTCCCCTGCGGACTCCTGGCCTCCAACAAGATCAGACACGCCAGTCTTCCCAGAAGCTGTTCTTGTAAGGCCTCTGAGGGTGGCTTTTCTCAGCCTGTGAGGGGAACCCTGCCAGACAGCAAGGTCCCTCTGTGGACAGTAGAGGCTGGCAAAGGGGCGCTAAAGAGAAGAGGGGGAAAGTTACACTGTCAGGGCCTGGCTCAGCAGCCCCCTAGGGCCTCCCTCCCAGGCAGGATCCCAGGCCCAGCTCTCCAGCCTGGCTATGTCCCTTAAGGAGCAAGGAAGCTGTAATGGAAATCTACGTGTTTCTTTGCAGATTGTTCTGATTTTTATACTTCCAAGGGCCCGCAGGACCCTGTCTCATCAAAGGCTTTTTCTAGTTCATATAATACTCCTAACACTAAAGATACCTTTTATTATTGCTACTGTAAATACCACCAACTTTGACCCTAGGCTGGCTATTTTGAATCTCTAAACTTTATCTTGGGCAGGCATTCTTCCTGCATGGGAACGTGTTTGATTTCCTGAATCACTTCTTGAAAGAGACATTCCCCTTTGGGACATTGGGCCATGGTTTGGATCCAAAGCCACACCCTGCAGAAGGTACAGGAAGGGTAAGCAAGCCAATTGGCTGAAGACCTTCTATTCCTGGACACATCTGATTCTTTACTTTGCTCCCTTCTTTTTGGGGGGTACAGGAAGAAGGATCCCACTCTCTCCTCTAGCTCTGAGGGCCTCTCAGGTGGGCCTCAAAGGAGCCAGCCCAGAACCCCTTGTCCACCTTCAGATACCTGCTTCTCTGACAACACTGGGAAGTAGCCAGGAGTCACCATTTTGAGTTCGCTTCTTCGTCCCCATTGCATGAGGGCCTCTTGAGCCCCACGCCTCACCTCCCAGGTCTTCCCCATGGGTGAACTGCCAACCAGGACTGAGCATGAGCCGGGAGAATGAGACACTGAATAAGGGAAGTGTAAGTGGCATGTGCAGGTCCCCAGAGCCAGCACCAGAGTCTGGTCACATGCCTTCTGTTGGGAGACTCTAGTCAAATAAATGAGGTATCAGGAAGCATAAGGGTAGTGGAGGGAGAGGAAGGACCTGGGTACACTGTCTGGTTTGACAGCTTGGTCCACTGACAAGTGGATACTTCTAGGCACCTTTCTTTTTCCCATTGAACAGATGGGGACAACGATTTGTCTGCTAGGCTTAGCATCAGGAAATAGATTGGGTTTATAATTCGAGATGGCAGACTGAGCACATGTTCATCTCCCCTCGTCTACAACACCCCCATTACAGTGAAAGTCATGAATAAAAAATGGTAAAAACAATAACATAAAATAAATTAAAAGGGAGAGAGACCATGAGTGGATGAAAGATTTCCATAATTTCTGCAGGATGGACAGTGGTTGGGAAGTGTTGGATGAGACAGAACGGAGGAAGATAGACCCTCAAGTGCGGTCTCAGGCCTGCAGTGGGGGAGCCCTCGGGCTTGGCACAGCCCTGGAGAGGCAACAGATTTGGAGGCGAAGGCAGGAAGGAGAAGTGAAGCTGAACCCCGTGGGGCTAATCCAGAATAGCCCTTAACCCCAAGGAAAGCACAGTAACCTTCTCTCCATGAACTGAGGGACTGTCAGCTAGTGTGGGTCTATGTGCCCAGGAGGGAAGCCCGGCTCCTCTGGCCACCAGCTTGCTGGCCACAGAGTGAAGGGATCTGATGATAATAAAAATACTGGTAGAACTATTAAAAGTTGGGAGGAGTAGGGAGAAGGGGAAATCCAAGTGTAAGTGGGTTGAATCCTCTTCTTCAACAGTGTTGTCAAGAAATTGCAGAACAAGCAGATTTTTTGAGACGTGTGGGTATAATCGACAGAAAAACTAAAAACTAAGCAAACACAGAGGAGGTCGTCCCTGAACTGCAGTACCACTGGTGGGCCGGAGCAGAGTGCAGGGCTGGGCTCTGTCATTCTGAGCTCTTTGATACTATTTGAGTTTTAAATTATATCCATGATTCAACATATATATATACATTGATTCAACATATAGAAAAATTAAAATGTGAAAAAGTGTAAATAGATTTTAATTACATAGGTGGAATGCGCATATTTGTTATATGAAAAAAATGGTGGTGGTGGTGGTGGGGTTACATATTTAAAGAAGTATGGGAAAAGTTGAATTAAACAAAATAAAGCAGGTCTTTGCCATGGACTTCTGGGAGCCTTTAATATGCTAGTGTAATTGCAGATATTTATGAAGTAGGATAGTAGTACACAATGTTTTCTCAACTTTTTCCTCCAGGGAATCCTTTTAGCTTGGAGCATCTCAAGCAAGTGGTGGTATGCATATCACATTGTGGGAAATTCTGCTGTAGAGTTCTCATACCATGGGAGACTTGAAAGCAGCAGAGAAGTTAAATTACTTGGGGGGCAAGAGGAGGGAGTGGAGGAAGGCTCACTTACAGACACTCCTGGGGTGTGGGGCACTCACTGCGGGCCGGCCAGGGTGCCGGGCACCTTCCACACATTCTCGGGTGTGAGCCTCCCAACATCTCGGGTGTTACAGCTCCATTTACTGTTGGGGAAACAGCTGCCCAGAGACGTCAAATTCATGCCATTCCTTACAGAGCCAGGATCTAAACCTGGGCCTGTTTACTCCCAAACCCAACCCATCAAAAACCCTAACACTTCATTGCCTAAGTGAGTGGAGGGTGGGTTGCAACCCAGCTCACAAACCTTTTTCTGCTCTTGGCAGTCCATCTCCATATACTCCTAAACCCAAGTCCTCCTCGAGGGGTGGCTTTCTGTTTGTTCTGCACTATGTTGAGTGTTTCTTGCTCCATCTTATGCTGGCCATGTAGTGGGCACTTGGTAGGTTTGAACAGCCTGGGTCATGGTCCCATGGTTCCATCCACATGGAACAGGATGTGGAGCCAGATGGCTGTGACTCTGAGTGGCCCTGGCCAGAAAGCTCTGCTGGATTCTTGCATTTACTTCTTTCTCTTTCCCTGCCCTTCCCTCCCCTGCAGCCGTGTATCTGATTCCTGTCCATCTGCCACATCCACTGGAAGCTGGGGCCTAGAGACATACTAACACTTCTGCCAGAGCATCCGCAAGGCACCCACACCTGGCAGGGCTGCAGGGCCAGCAGCCGGTGGTGAGGTTGGCTCTGTGAGGGACGGAGGCTGTGGAGGTGTCAGCTGGCTCTTGCCGGAGTCTTCCATCTAGTAGCTGTGGGGAGAAAATGGGAAATTTCCGTATTTACCAGAAAGAGCAAAGGCATATCTTTCAGGAAAAGATCTGAGAGAGATTTTCTCTCCCACCATCCCCATCTCCTTCTGATGAGACAGCTGGAGAAGTTGGTGGTGATTAGTCACTGCTGTTAATTCATTACTAATTTGCATAGAAGGAGACTGGCCTTTTCTGAGCCTAATGCTCAGAAACTCAAGGGCTCCAAAACTGAACTCACTGTCCTCCCTGTCCATATACGCTCCTCGTCCTGGGCGCCCTGTCTCCATGCACAGCTTTGCTCCCTTCCTGGCCCTCAGGAAACAGCCCCTTTGACTTCAAATGCACAGCCCTGTCAACTCGACCTCTGAGGAGTCCCTGATCCAGTCCCTCCCCACATGCCCACTTCCCCGGCCCAGCCTGGGGTACAGCCGTCACTGTCTGTCCACCGGCTGCTGTGACAGCCCTCACTCCTCTGCTGGATGCTACTCTTGCCACCAGCCATGTACCGAGCTTTCAACATGCTTCTGGAGAAGTCAGCAACAAGGAGCTGGGATTTTTAGAAGCAACCTTGAACTGGACAGATAACTGAGCCACGTGCTGGGCAAGGGGTCTCCTGGAGGGAAAGGGATAGTTATCCAGGCAAAAAAGGGGAGGATGATTTTGTGCAGCTTGTGAGAAAGAGCACAGGCACAGGTGTGCTCTGGGGAACTTTAAGAGTGTGATCTTGATGGTGTTTGAAGGGCAAGGTGTTTGGCAGCAGGTGTTGCAGCTACGTAATGCTCATACCAAAGCAACCCAAAACTTTGTGCTTAAAACAATGACAACATGTCATCTGCTGACAAATCTGCAATCTGGACAGGGCTCAATGGGGATAGCTCATTTCTGGTCTAGTTGGCATCAGAGGCTGGGACTGGAATCATCTGAAGGCTTGCTCAATAACATGTTTGGCAGCTGGCACTGGCTGAGGGCTGAAACCTTCACTGGGGTTGTCGGATGAACACTGACATGTGGCCTGTCATGAGTAAGGAAGATTGGTCCTCCTTACAATGGGATGTCTGGGTTCTGAGGGTCCCGAGAGAGAAAGAGCCAAGCAGACTCTCTGAGCTTTTAGGACCTAGCTTCAGAAGTCACATGCCATCACTTTGCTTCATCCATTGTAAGCAAGTAGCTAAGACTGGCCCATGTTCAGAGTGACAGAACACAGACCCCACCTCTTGATGGAGTCTCATTGTCACATGGAAGAGGTGAATGTGGATGGGAAATGTTGGTGTGGCCCTCTTTGCAAAATATGATCAGCACTAGCAGGGTATGGAGCCAAAGAGGCAGGCAGGGTCCAGACCTGCAGTGTCTTGGGGGTTATGCCAAGGGCATTCATTTCTACCTTGTAGGAGGTAGGGAGCCAGTGAGAGATGTTGATTTGGGTGTGACCTGCTCACGTTTGTGCTTGAGAAAGCTCTCTCTGGGGTGGGGTGGTGGAAGGTTGGAAGGGGCATACGAGAGCCCTGTGAGAGGCTGTTGCAGTAACCCAGGAGGGAGATGGTAAGGGCCTGAGCAAGGCATGCACCTGGAGATGGGGACAGGGGTCAAATGTGAAAGACCTCAAGACAAGATCACAGTGTCTGGCCATGGGGCAAATGCCAGAAGGTGAGGGATGGGCACCTAGGAGGATTCTTGGTTTCTGGCCTGGGAAACTGAGTGAAGGTGATGGGGAATGAAGGGAAAGAGGAGAGGTTTGCGAGGGAAAATCATGACTCCTATTTGGGAAGTGATTAGTCTGCAGGGTCTGAGAGTGTCCAGGAAGACACGTCCAGCAGAGAGAGGGATGGACAAAAGTTCCGGATGAGGAACTGAGATTTAGGTGCCATCATCCTATGGGCATCCCCATTGTGTGCTGCTCTCCCGCTGCCTGTTGCATGGCTCTTGTCTTCCCTTCTGTCTGCCTTGTGGAAGCAACTCCTACAGATTGCTATGTTTTTCTGCCCTTCTTGTTCTAGTCCTTCACATAGTACCCCCTGCACACAGATGGTCAGAGTCAGAACATGGCCTCTAGTCCAGTGATTGTACCCGTGCTGCCCACTGGATTCTCCTGGAGGAACTTTTCCAAATAGCGCAGTTGGGGCTTGACTCCCACCTGTTTTGATTCTGCAGTTCTGGGCTTGGGCCCAGCCTCTATATTTCACAAAACCCCCCACCCCCTCTATCCAGGTGATTTTGAATTAACGCTGAGTTAAGAATCACTGATTTAGCCCAGTTACCTCACAGTTGGGGAAAGCAAGGGCCCAGGAAGGAAGAACTGGCTGAGGCTGCTCCATGGAGTGAGAGACAGGCCCAGACCTGGTCCACTGCAGGCATCTCAAGTGACTGGTGCCTAAGCTCAAGAAGGCCTACTGCATGCAAGGCACTATGCCAGGCACTCGGGGCCCCATCTCTGGACTTGTTTCCCCATTGTGAAAAGAGGGTGAGAAAAGATCATTTTCAAAATTACCTTTACCACAAAATGTTAAGAAGATCTCAGTACATGAAATGAAGCACAGGGTAGACTCCCTCTGTCCCCAGGCAGGCAGGCTTCCTTCTGCCACTGGCGAGGAGCGAGGTGGCCATGCAGGCTCAGGGGCAGGTGGCAGTTTGGGAAGGTGTCTGGTTTTGTGGGTGTGATGACCTCTTCATCTTTGGAGCTGGAAGCATGGGCAGGTGGACAGGCCACAAGTGCTGTGCCCTGTCAGAAGCCTCAAGCTGGCCTGGCACAGGCTCTGCCGTGGCAGGTAGGAGACCCCACAGCCTTGAGTGAGGGCCCCTGTGGAGGGGGTAGCCTCAGCTGAGGAAGGAAATGGAAATAAAGGTGGAGCCCCAGTTGCTGTCCTGAGATGCCTGCCCCTCAACTTTGGCAGACTATGAAACGTAATGGCATCCCACCCTTCCCTGGAAGAAAATCATGACCCAGAAGGGCACCTTCCAGGGGATGCTTGGGAAGTGGGGCTCTGGCTCGGAGCCTGCCCAGGATGGCCCAACAACTGGGAACCTGGGAGGGCCCAGAGCTCAGCCTGGAGCCAACTAAGGTTGCCAACAAACCCCTCTCCTACCCTCCCTGATGTGTGTCTGTCCCCATCAACAGTGGAACTCACATTTACTTGGTATCAACAGGACAAAGCATGTGGTGTATGGTGGGATACAGAGACAAATGGCCTGGGCCCCTTCCCAAGGCCTGGGTCACCCATCGAGGAGGGGTGAGCACAGATACCCTGAGAAGAGGTGACAACGAGCTTGTCAAGTGGGGACATCCATTCAAACCATGTTGTTTGGGGACCACATCATGGTACCTTAATGGAGGCATCAGAGGCAGGCCTGGGAGGGCAGGTGTTGGGAAAGGAGGACAGGTCAAGAGAAGCAGAGCAATATGACCTGGAGCTTGCTGGTACCCCTGGGAGTGGTCCAAATAGGATGGGGAGTGGCCTTCAACCCCCACAGAGTGCAGGAGGAGGACGGACCAGCAGTCCATGGGGGCACCGTGGTGCTGTTCAGGAAAAATCCCAGGTGCTGACTGTCCTAGATGCTTGGCTCATAAGCCAGGCCTTTCCCATGGGGGTGACTCTGCAGCCCTGTCATATCATAAATGGCCCTGAGGTTTTACTGGGCTATTGGTGATGACAGTGATAAGAACGCAGTAATGACAGGAATGGGTGACACTTTGAGTGCTTCCTGCAAGGTGAACACGGGGTAGCCATGATGGCATTTTACCCTCAGGACTATCTTATGAAGCATTTCCATGTGGCAGGTGAGACAGAGGCCAGGGTGCTGGGCCTCCAGGCCACAGAAGTCCCAGAATGGAAGGCTGGGAGGGCACCAGGGCTCACTGTCCAGAGGCTCACGGGGCCCATCGTCTGTTCCCCCAGGTGTTCGTGCTCTGCCATGGCCTCTTGCAGCTCTGCCAGCTCCTGTACAGCGCCTACTTCAAGAGCAGCCTCACCACCATCGAGAAGCGCTTCGGGCTCTCCAGTTCTTCCTCGGGTCTCATTTCCAGCTTGAATGAGGTAAGCAGGAGGTGCCACTCCATCACACCCAACTTGTGTACCACCTCGACCACAGGACCTAGGAGAAGCAGAGGACAGGGAGCTGGAATGTGTACATAGGGTGCAGGCGTCTCTCTGTGTGGGAACCAGAGAGACAGCAAAGATCCCACTGGCATGGTGGGAGCAGCTGCATTTCCTGAGGCCTTACCTGCGCCAGTTACTGACCTAAGAGCCTCCCATGCCTGACTTCGGAGCCTCCTCCCAGCAGCCCTGCCAGCAGGTGCTCTGTTCCTGCCCACTTGACAGGTGTGGGTACTAAGCCTCAGCAGTACAGGTGGCTTACCCCAGGTGCGCAGGCTGTCTGCCTCCAAACTCTGTGCCTCTAATTGAGTTCTGTGGCAACCCAAGAGTTTGTGTGGCCTCTGCACCATCCCTTGTCAAGGGAGGATGAATCCAGGCATGCAGGTAGGAAAGCAGCCCTGATCCAGGCATCTCCTATCTTCTGATGGTCACAGGAGTCAGAGGTGCTTAATAGCCCTGACTTCCAGATGAGGTCAGAGCTCTATGACCTCCCAGAAACATGGGTAAGACATTTTCCAGTCTCCCTCAGTGAATGCATATCAGAGTTTGAGAAAGATAGGGTGCTCTGAGAGGCCAGAGGTGAAAGGTCAGACGGCAGGGTCTGCCAGGAGTTGCAGGAAGCTGGGGGTGGGGAGAGCCCGGGAAGACAGGAGAACCCCTCCGTCATGGCTGCAACATTGGTGGCCCCATAGTGTGGAGACGGGCGCCCAGGCCGACTTCTCCCTGTCCTTTCCCTGAGGCCCACTTTTCCTGGATGGAGGCAGTAGCCTCCCCCTCCCAGGAGCCTGGCTGCTCCTCTGGAGCTGAAGAGCTCTTCCCTTGACTTAGTGAAATTCAGGTCTGTGCAGTAATTTGGAGACTTTGCCCCCAGAGCAGCTACTGACTAACACGGAATTGTAAAAGAAGGTGGGATATCTCCTGACCACCCCCCCCCCAACCATGGCCCTTCAGTCTCCCCTCCCAACCCCGCTCCTGCTGGAACATGACCTTCACTCCTCCTCTACTCCGTTGGCCACACAGCAGTGCCCCCCAGGAGCTCCTCCCCTGCCCATCCCCTCTGCAGGCCTGGGAGGGAGGCTGTCTTTGTAGTCACGTGAGGAAGTCTGCAGCAGAAAGCCTGAGTGCTGCATCCCAGGCTGGCTACATGCCATGTGCACAGCGCAGCCAGGGTCTGAGCCCAGGTCTGTCTGATGACCGCATGCTGAGGCCTCCCTCTGTGAATCCCCAGCTCACCTCCTCTACCACACTGCAGTCCCTTGTGTACAAGCACTGCTCCACCCACGTCTCGTCCTCCACACACATCGCTAGAATCTCCATCGGTGCCCCTCTGCACGCACTCCCCCATCATGGGCTTGTCCTCCATGTGGGTGACATCCGTGTACATATACACAAAGACCTGCAGCCTGATGGGCCTCAGATCTCCTCTGGACTCCCAGGCCATGTGTGTGCTGTTACTGCTTTCTGTATGTGTGCGTGTGTCTCTGCCTGTATGATTGTGTGTCTGTCCTGAGCTTCTTGGTGAAGCCTGGTGTCTGGGCCCACCTCACCATGTGGGTTGTACTCTTCTCCAGGACAGGGACCTGGCATTCTGCACACAGAGTGCATCCTTCTGAGTGCGGGCCTGTGACTTCCATAATGCCTCTGGCATATGTTGTTCTCACTCATGATAGACATCAGGGAAGACAAATCTCTGAGCTTTGTGTCACTCTATCCTATCCCACAACCCTGGTGTGTGTCACTAATCACCTACAGTCCTTGTTCTTGCTGAGTCCAGACGCAGCCTCTGAATCCTTCTCAACACAGTGTTCTGTGCCCCTCTGCCTCTCAAAATCAGAGCTGGAAAGTAAGGTGAATCCTCTCTTCTACCTCAACCCACATGATAGCCAAATCTATGATCTCCTGTGGTTAAATTTTCATTCATATTTTTCCTGTGCTTAGAACCAAAACATGGGCCCAGGGGCAGGTGGATTTTTCAAGGGACAGGGAGTAGCTAGCTGGGACATGGAGCAGGGTCTATTTAAGACAGGATGTTGATTAGACAGATAAAGGGCATAACATTTCCCCAGGGCTGTAGTTCAATCAGAAATAAAAATTACTCACCCATTAATTTTTTCTTTTCTAAACTTAGTTAAACTTTTCAAGAATTTGACTTTAAGTCATGTCTATGAGCATGATTTGAGGCAAAAACCGTAAGATAGTCCATTCCTCTGAGCTAGCAATCCTGTGTGTGTGTGTGTGTATCTGTCTGTGTGTGTACTTGTGTATGACTGTGTATACGTGTGTTATCTGTGTCCATGTGTGTTTCAGTATTTGTGTGTGACTGTGTGTCTGTGTGTGTATACCTGTATCTGGGTATTTGTGTGTGACTGTTTTTGTGTCTGTGTGTCTGTGTGTGGAGCCTGGGGCAGGGAAAGGTGAGCCGTCTGGACCGTGGGCTGTGCAGCGAGCCTCAGGGGAATGAGCCTTAAGGCTGCAGCTCGCAGTCTCGAGAAACCCTCTGGGGGCCCAGCAGGTGAGGTGCTGGGGAGACATGGGCTGGGTGTAAGAACATGGCAACAAGAGGAGACTCTAGACCTCTTGGCCTTGGGAAGTGGCAGCTCCTCTTGTCCACTAGTAAAGGCCAGGGCTGGGCAGACCCTGGAAGTTCTCTGCCCTTAATGACTCCTCGCCAGGGTTCCCTGGGCCCTCTGGTTGTAGACATTGAAGAGCGGGGGTGTGTGGTTACAAATAGGCTTTGTAACAGCTTTCAGAGGTCCCGCCAGAGCTGTTTAAGGGGCCACTCTGGGGCTGAGGGGTCTGAGGCCTGAGGCTCTCATCTCCTCAGCTAGAGCACCTGCAATTTTTTGTTTGTTTTATGTTAGAGAAAAATAGTTTTTTCACAAGGACTCCACTGCTGAAGAAAAGTTTGAAAACCAAGTCTTAAGCCAGCCACAGCTGTAACACCTGTGGAGGTCCAGTCATCCACAGAGAAACAAGCGCAGGCCCCAGGAGAGTAAGGAAGGGCCTCTCCAGATGCACGGGGCCCAGGCGCCCCATCCTTCCCGTTCCCGTCCTTCCCCGTCCCTTCCCGTCCCTTCAGGGCCCTGCAACATCCCTCGCCCAGACCTTTTAAAGTCAGCCTCCGTTAGCATAGCTGATATGGTCTGACATTTACAATCACTTCATGAAAAACCATGGGAAACAAGAGGGAAATAAATGAAACATAAAAAGCACAAGATTCAAACTGTCTTTCCAGGTACATGTTTCAGAATATCCTAGAACCACCTCTGGCAGGGACTGGAACAGTCCCCTGCTCAAGCCAGGCTGCCCCCTCACACCCCTTCACACCCTTTATCTATATGTCATGAGCCATCTCACTTTGGCCACTCTGGAGGGGTCCTCTGGGCCACCATGTCTTCTTCTTGAAAAAGCTTACCATGTCCTTGTTCCTTCATTCATTCACTCGTTCAACAAATATTTAATGAGCACCAAATATGTGTCAGGCACTGTTCTAGGTGCTTGTGAGATAGGAATGAACAGACAAAAATCTCTGCTCATAGATCATTCTAAAGATAAATGTAATATTTATTTGCAGAAATAAAACATATGGTAGATCAGATTATGACAAGTGCTATGAAGAAAGGAGGGGAAAGGACACGCAGGGCCAAAGCGGTGGGGATTGTGGTTATATTTTACATAAAGACATCAGAGAAAGGCCTTAATGAGAAGGGTCCAGAGATCTGGAAGCAGTCAGGTAAGAAGGGAGCCCCGTGGCCATGTGAGACAGGAGGAGCAGAGGGGAGAGGGCCTGTGGTGCGTTCAGAGGACAGCTGGAGGCAGAGCACAGGAGTGGAGCAGGGGAGGACAGGAGGAGGGCAGACCAGAGAGGCGGAGGGAAGGGGCAGGCTGTGGAGGGCTCTGATGCAGCCAGGCAAGGGTGGAGGAGGTCACTGCAGTAATTCAGACAGGACACAATGGTGGCTGGGACCAAGGTGGTAGCGGTGGGGGTGGTGAGAAGTCGTTGGCATCTGGGTGACTGTCGAAGGTCGTTCAATGGGATTTGCTGGTGGATTAGATGTGCGTTGTGAGTGAGCCATGAGAGGTTCAGGGATCTGCCTGCACCCCTGGGAGGATGGACGTGTTGTTTTCTGAGGAAGAGGACTGGAGGGGGGACCAGGTTTGCAGGGAGGGTGAGGAGCGAGAGTTTGGAGAGTTTGCCTGAGCCCGTGGGGATTAGAAGCACACAGCAGGCATGTAAGGCCATGAGACTAGATGAGCCCACCAAGGCAGGAGCGGAGGTGCCGGGACTGAGCTCTGGGCCCAACGTGGAGAATTCAGGAGGAAGAGAAGGAACCAGCCAAGGAGACTGAGAAGGAGCAGCCAGGAAGAAAGCAGGAGAGGGTGGTGTCATGGGAACTCAGTGAAAGGAGTGTTTCAGGAAGAAAGAAGTGGTTGACTCAGTCAGATGGTGCTGAGAGGTCAAGTACGAAGAGAACTGAGAATTGACCAGTGGATTGGCAATGAGGAGGTCATTGGTGACCTTGGTAAGAGCCACATACCACGGTGGCAGCCCTATTTCCTGAGACACGAGCACCTGCCTCTCCAGCCTGGTGTGGACAGGGTGGGGCTACTGCTGCTGATTTTCAGGGCCTCTCCAGTCCAGGTGAACTCGTGTTCTGGGGAGAGGACCATCTCCTTTGAAGGAGACATGGTCAGAAGGCCTGCCCGCACCCCCTTTACCACGAAAGGACCTGCTCCCCAACCTGAGGCCTTCAGTGCCCTTCCCTGGCTCTGGCTGGCGCTGAGAAAGCACACCTTCCAGGGAGCACCAGGAATGCAGAGTCACTAACGTTTGCAGCTGGGAAGTGACATAGGCGAGCTTTAATCCTCGTTCCTCATTTTACAGAACTGGAAACAGGCCCAGGGAAGGGAAGGCAGGTTAGTAGCAGAGCTGCTGGGGCAGAAGCCGCTTCTCCAAGAGTCCGTAGATCTCTGCAGTTAAGCCCGGGTGCTTTAAAGTCAGGCAGTTCTGGTCCAACCAACCTCTTAACCTCACGGGCATGGGCATGTTAACTTAATATTCTGAGCCCCAATTTTGTTATCTGTAAAAGGAGAGTTGCGTGATTAAATGAGTGAATGCATGTTGTTTGTTTGTTATTCTGACTACCAAGCTAGGGTTCTTGGGTCCTTTAATTAGGACCTAATTAAACTTGGGAGTTTAATTAAGGAACACATTCTGTTCCTAGAAGCCAGCCAGGATTGGTGGCTTCCTTGGATTTTGCCCCAAAAGGTTTGATCCTAAGATGGTCGGAGTTTAGGCCATGAGCTTTTCATGGTCTCCATGTACTTCCCTTGGTCGGGTCTAGAAGGTGGAGGCGGGAAGGTTTCTGACACCAGAGGGAAAGCTGACACTGCTCATGCTTGGCCTGCAGCTCTCTGGGCAAGGCTGACACTGGGCAGCCTCCTGCCTCTCCAGCTTCCCTGGACAAGGTGCAGGTGGGCGAGGAGGGTCTCTGATCTCACTCGGCCTCTCTGCTCTCTCCGCAGATCAGCAATGCCATCCTCATCGTCTTTGTCAGCTACTTTGGCAGCCGGGTGCACCGTCCACGGCTGATTGGCATTGGGGGTCTCTTCCTGGCGATGGGGGCCTTCATCCTCACCCTCCCACACTTCCTCTCGGAGCCCTACCAGTACACCTCAGTCGCTGTTGGTGAGCGGCCCCCTCCCTTGCCTCGGGGGGTAAGGAACGGGTGAACCTCTCACAAAGTTAGTGGGGACACTCCTGGGGCAGCGGATACCACTCTAGGCCATGCTGTCCCCTCCCGCCAGTAAGTCTCCTTGGCTTTTATTGTTTTGTGTCTCCCCAAAGCACATGTGAAGCTCAGGATATACTGAACTGTGTAGAGCTATGGAACAGCAGTCCGACTCTGGCTTGTTGCAGCCGGTGGCTCACCTCCTGCTGTGATTCCTGTGTTTCGTGCCAGGAATGACCCCAACTCCACCTGCCTGGGGACATCTGTGGTTAGTGCCCATGGTGGGGATTGGGGGGAAGAGTCAAAGCATCAATCATGAGATCTAAGGGTGTTTTTGAAGCTTAATCACAGTAGTGACATTTGTACATTCGTCTGTCATTCTTTAAGTTACAGTGCTCTCATATGATGATCTCATTTGATTGTGTTTGCTGAGTTGAGTCTACAATCCATGAACACAGTGTGCCTCGCCATTACCCTGCATTTAACATTGACCTGTGATTTCACAGACTCTAAGTTGATGAATGTCTCTGCTCTCCAAGAGACTAAAGAACGGACCCTGGAATGTTTTAATGCCCACCTCTGCCATCTTCCATTCTCAATATTGTTGACCAGTGTTTTAGATCCCCCATGTGATTGCCTCCCTAGTGGTCATTATTATAAATTATGATTACGTTGTTGGTTGTAGATAAGTCACGTGCCCACAAGTTTACAGGTTTCTTTGTTCACCATTGCTTCTTGCATTTCGCCCATTTGGTTGATTCAATTTGTTCCCTGAAGTATGTCCTTTAGCGTTAGGTGGGCCCATGAGTGAGAACATCTCTAAGTCTTTGTCTAAAAATGTCTCAGTTTTACACTTGCTCTTGAATTATACTTTAGCTACAAACAGGATTTTAAATTCATAGTTATTTCTTCTCAGCATTTTAAAGGTACCATGCCTCTGTCTTCTGGAATTTCTCGGTGGTGTTGGGACTTCTTCATCAATCTAATTGTCATCCCTTTTTAGGTATCCTGTGTTTTCCCTCTAGTTGTATTTAAGATTTTCTTTTTTCTTTGTTCTTCATGTCCACCATATGGTGTCCGAGTATGAGTTAATTTTTACTTATCAGTGTGCTATTTCTTTTGAAAATTAAAGTTTTTCTTTAATCCTGAGAAATTGTCACCCCAAAATGCTCCCAGTATTGTATACCCCTTTTCTCCATTCTATCCTCTAGAGCTCCTTTTGTATATATGTTGGTTGTTTTTATTTCTAGCCTCCTTGTCTCTTAACCTTTAATATTTTTCAGTGTTTTTTTCATCTGTGCTGCATCCCAGGTGATTTCCTTAAAGTACGTCTTTCTCTTTACTTTGTCTCTCTCCAGCTCTGTTAATCTGTTGTCTAACCCATCCTTTATATTGTGAATTTTAAGGCTCTCTATATTTTTCTTTCTTTTTTGTGACCGGTAAGGGGATTGCAACCCTTGGCTTGGTGTCGCCCGCACCACGCTCAGCCAGTGAGCGCACTGGTCATCCCTATATAGGATCCGAACCCACAGCGGGAGCGCTGCTGTGCTCCCAGTGCCGCAGTCTCCTGAGTGTGCCACAGGGTTGGCCCTATATTTTTCTAATTTCTAAAAGTTCTTATGATGGTTTCTCAAAACTCTCTGCCCTATTTTCAAGGTTTCTTGGTGTTTTCTTATGATTTCTATTTTTTATTTGATGTCTTCAGTTATTTTAAATACCCTTTTTATTGACATCTTCAGATTGTTCTATTAGCTCAAATTTTGAGAATGTTAATCCTCCCAGTGTTTTGTGTCTGCCTGCTCTTGTTTGTGGTGGCTTATTTCCTTGTATGCTCTATCATGTTTGGCTGTGGGATCATTTGCAGTGGGATTTTTTTCCCCAATGTAGAAATTTTATGTGGTTTAGGCTGAGAAATAGCCCTACAGAGTAGTTTTGCCTTTGCATTTACCTGGCAGCCCAGGAACATCACTGGCTTTGGAGCTAAATTTACATTAATTTATTGTCTTGGTATAAATTTGCACTTGTTTTAAGGGGTGTAGGAAATGGCAGTGGTTTTGTGATGAGCAGCAGTAAAAAGCCTAGTCCATAAATCCTCATCCTTGGTTCACTGTATTGGAGTTGAAGATCTCTGAGAATAAATGAGCTGCCCAGGGATGTGCTGAGGGAATAATCGATTTCAGTTTGCTTAAATACAGGCTGATTTTTGAGTCAGGTATGCAGACCAGGTTCAAGAGATGCATCACTTAGAATGATAGAGGGGATTCCTTTATAGATTGTGAGACACACAATGGGGAGAGATAGGTGGCTGGAATGGACAAAGAATGGAGTAGACACAGGGATGTCTGATAAAGTATCTACTGGGTTCTGGGCATGGAAATCTTTTTCCCACTTCTCTGTAAATTGCCAGTGAACTAGTCATTTCTCATAAATGCACTGTGGTCTTGGATCTATGTGAGTCCTGCTTCAAATGGGCAGAGAGCAAGGATAGACCCCCTCCCAGGGGTCCTGCAATGCCCTTTCTCCCTCTCAGTCTGGACAAGGAGTTTAAGGTCAGCTCTGGGGGACTCAGGAGCTGCTGGCCACCTCTCACAGAGCAGTGTGGCTGGACCTGCTGTGCTGTCATCTCTCCAGACCCACAGCCCCTGCCCTTCCCCACCACGTGAAGACTGGGCTAATAAAATCAACAGGGAGCCTGCGGCACTGGGGCCAGGCCGAGGGGAGGGCATCCAGCCAGGTGCCACACGCCGCAGCCTGCTCGGCCTCTCATGATGTCTCCCTGTGGCCTGGCCCCACATCCCGGTGGCATTTGCTTCACACAGAACAGCTCAGAGCAGCCGCAGGAGGGAGGTTAGAGATGGGCCTCGCTGTGCTCCTTGTTAGGGATGGTCAGTCTGATTGGGTTCAGCCCTCAATCTTCCCAGCTCCAAGGGAAACTCTGCGGTCTGGCTTTGACCTCAGTGCTCTTAGCCAAAATCCTCTGAGAGAGGATGGAGGGGCTGTGAGAAGGAACACAGCTTGCCTTTTAGGGGCCAGGAGAGTGAAGTGCATCGTCATTGTTGCTCACTTTATTTGTGTGAATTCTAATTGCAACGGCAGGGCACAGCACTCTCCTTCACTCTCTCTGGGACTGGAACAACAGCTGCAAGTGCTCAGGGACGAGCTACCTTTTGCAACATCTTCCTGGTGCCAGAGGGTGGGATGAGGAGAACTTTGGCCCAGGGGCCACATCCATGGTATCTACCTAGGGCTGTGCACTGGGTGCCAGTGCAGCATGGGTGTGTGCGATGCTAACTAATACGTGCAAATAAAAATATTCATAAAGTCTCACTGCATGGGAAAAGTTTGAAATGTGACTCCTGCTTCAAATGTATTCCTGCAGGAACTTAAGTTTTGAATTATGCAAGGTCATCAGGAACAAACACATTTCATTAAAAGTACCACCCTGGATGGTGGTGTGGATCTGAACCATCTTCTGGAGCCAGGCAGTCCTCGATCTGAATCTGGTCTTTGAGACTCCACAATGACGCAGCCTTGAGCCACTTTCTCCCTGCTCTGAGTCTCAGTTCCCTTCTGAGGGTCCCTGGAGGGCTGTGAGGGCTGGAAGATGCATGTCCAGAATTCAGTCCGGTGGCTGGCACATGCACTAATCATTAAGTGTTGGCTCTTGTTCTGGTGGTAGTGGGAACAACACAATGTGTCCTGTGGAGTAAACTAGTAGTAGATCCTCCTGATCCCAAATGAGAAAGCATCTTGCTTCCTGTAAAGTGCTCTTGCTATGGGCTGGGCAGCCTGGGGGTATCCGAAGGCAGCTTCTCTGGTCCTCACCATATGTCTCTGCTCAGGCCTGGGGTGCCCCCCACCCAGCTGGTCCCTGCAGCCTCCTCACACGCGGGCCCATAGGATTTCTCTCATGGAAGCTCAGGCTGCTGCTCTGCTCTCTTCCCAGCTCCTCCTGCTGGTGCATGCAGCCTGGTGTGATGAGTAGAGCATGGACTTGAGCATTCAAACCCTCCCTCAGCCGCTTGCCAGCCGAGGGTCCTTAGGCATGCTACTTCACCTTTCTGAACCTGTTTCCTCTCCTGTAAAATGGGAACGTAATACCTTCACTTTCATGTATTCTAAAAGTATAATTAAAATGAAACAATATAGGTAAAGTGCTTGGCCCGCATTAGCTGTTCTGCAAATTTCTATTTGTCTGCCTTTGTGGTGTTTGAGATCTGTTACTCATAAGTAATGGCCCTCAGACCTATTATCATGTGTTCATTGCTGATGTCTCTCCTTGGAGCAAAGCTACTCCAGAAATTAACATGGGAAATGAAGAGTAACTATGTGTTTTAGGAAAAAAAATTAAAGAAAGGCCGAACATTGTGGGAATCATGGAGACCTTTAACAACTAATTGCTAATTTTAAAAAGGCCGTGCAGACATTTATGGATGTTTAGATTTTCTAAATGTCAGTGGGGTCCGGAAATGTGCCCGGCGCCTTTAGAGAAAAGACTAGCTACCCAGCCAAAGCCTCCAAGACCACTTCTGGAAGGCACACAGAGGTTTGCATAGATGGGAAACGGGCCAACACGAGACCAGTTCTCCCAGGCGATAAGAGAAGAGTCTTCAGAAACCAGTGTCTGGTAGGACTAGGTGTAACCTGTGAAAGACCCTCTGGCCAAGCCCAGAGGGAAGTCTGCCCACACAGACAACAGACGCTGCAGGCAGGAAGCTTCCTGGAGGCTAAGCAGGAAGGGTGAGGGGGTTGTATTTTTGGAACAGTCAAGAAAAGAAAAAACTGAAGAGTCACTTTCTAGTCCTTTATTCATGAAGTTGCCAGCCCCCCACCCTGTGCTCACTCGTCCCAAGGATGTCCGTGGGAAGGAGGGTGTTGGGAAGGCCTGGGGTGGGGTGGGGGGGGAAGCCGTGGGATCCTGCGTGACTGCCTCCCTTCCTCAGGGGAGAACATGCAG